TAAAATATGCAAAAGTAATAATTTTTGTTTTTTTAGTTAGTCAGAGTAATAGGTAATAATGTATAGCTAATAAATAAAGACCGGACTTATATGTTTTTACATATCGTAACTGGGTCTATGCAGTCTTATGAGAATAAAAAATGTGGACGATTTGTTCAATTCTGAAGGTGTAGAAAAAAGTTTTTTTTGCATATTTGAGAATATTTCATCGGTTAGGGAATATTTAGCATATTTTGGAATATTTCGTAAATTGTGAGAAAAAATTTGTATTTATTTTAATATTATGGTAGCCAGAAAAATTTTTTTTGAACATTTAAAATTTTTATTTTTTTTTTGTCATTTTGATAAAAAGAAAACACGCAGTGTTATTAAGGTTTATCTATAAACCTTGCAGTATTATAGTGCTTTATCATATTAAGTTGCCTTGCCGTTCCCTAAACATTTTGTTCTATGCTAAACATGGTGGCTTACCTGCAGTGCTGGCAGTTGTTTCCTTACTGATAAGATCAGTTCCTAGTTACTTCAGTGCAATTCCATTATGCAAGTGTAAACCACTTAAATAATTATTATTTAAGGATTAACTATTGTTTAAAAATTTGTTTTGTTTTATTATGTTTTAATATATATTAATAATTGTTATTTTTTCACACTGACTTCAGTGTTTAATACAAATTTTAATTAAAATGTACCAAAGGAATCTTATATTTTATGTTTTAATTTTATACTGTTATATTTATATTATATTCATATTTTGTACTATTACTAAAGTGTAATAGTATTCCATTAAGTATAATACTCAACTTTTAATACTTAATTAATACCTCACTATTGAAATAATGTTGAAAAAAATTTAAAAAATGCATGTTAAAACATATAATGAAGTTAATTATATATTTTAGCATATTTTTTAAATTTTTAAAAGAATATAATGAGAATATTTGAAGTTTTGTAGAGAATATTAGCATCATATTTTGGGTATTTTAAGAAAATATAAATCCGGTTTTTAGTAATATAAAAATTCATTAAAAATAATGCTAATTTTAAATTTCAGTTTTAATGATACTTGTAAAAGTAACATTATATTTTTATTAATCGTATTTTTTTCTTAGTCRAATTTTCATAGCAAACGTTGCACACATTGCAGCTGTGGTGGCTAAATAAAGCCATACACATTTTACCGTCACCGCTGCAGTGTCCTTAATTTAATTTGTAAATTTTTTTAATCTACATGATATATTTTTTGTCTTATTTTTATAGGCTTTGGTAGACTGTAGTTGGGGTTTTGGCAATAATGGATGTGATGGCGGAGAAGATTTTCGTGCTTATTCTTGGATTGAGAAGCATGGCTTACCAACTGAAGACGAGTATGGACCATACCTTTCTCAGGTATACAATATTTTAATTTGAATTATTCATTACATTTTATATAAATATTTGGATCATWATTAGTTACACAAGGAAAATATTTATTAATTTTCTTCTTAATTTTTACAATAAAYTAAATATTTAAATGTTTTAAATATTCTTGCTTTTATGTTAAACATTCATATTTATATATATWTTTTTATTATTCTAGGATGGTTTCTGTCATATAGCTAACATATCAAATGGTGATCTTACGAAAATTACTGGTTTTGTGAATGTAACAATGTATGATGAAGAAGCATTAAAAATTGCTTTAGTCAATGAAGGTCCAATTTCTATTGCTATTTATGCTTCACTAAAAACATTTGCCTTCTACTCGGATGGTGTTTACTATGATAAAGATTGCCGTAAGTATTTTTTTATTAAACTGAAATATACCTATCACAATCACACTGTATGTTAATTTTTATTTGTAGGTAATAGTCCATCTGAGTTGAATCATGCTGTGTTGTTGGTGGGCTATGGTACATTAAATGGCCATCCATACTGGCTGGTGAAAAACTCATGGTCAACTCACTGGGGTAATGCTGGTTATATACTTATATCTCGTAGGGATAACAATTGTGGTGTTCTCACTAGTCCAACATATGTTATTTTGTAGACTTTTGTTTAAGATTTTAACATTCTATATTGTCATTTATTGATTTAATTATAATTTAAATTTATAAGTCTGAGTGTAAAATATATTAATTATATTACTTTTACAACTTTCTTGGTACTAATTAATTTTTTATCACTAATAGAAATTAAAATATTGTACTTTTGATCTATTTCTAAATAAACGACTGTTAGTTTTATACATTATATATCTTAATAAGAATAACTTAGACAAAATCAATAATCAGCCTACTAATTACTTACCTATTACCTTCTAAAACGTACACAAATTACATTAGTTCAGCGTTATAGTTGTAAATAAAACTTYTTACTATTATTACAAAACTATTTATACTGACAGCTAATAGGTAAGTTAAATATAATTATTTTTTTAACAATTAACATGTTAAATACTGATGTAAATGSGGCAATTACTTAAGCTTCGCGAACCCTGAAGTGATCTATGCAGAACCCTAGGGTTTCGCGGAACAGTTTAAGAAACGCTACACTAATGTATGACTATTACGTCAAATTTTACAAGCGGCAAATGGGTAACCACAGATTAAGTCTACATCAACATTTAACATTTAATTAATGAAAAAAAAAGATAATTTGAATTTAAATTAAATTAATAGATAATATATAAAAATATTTTGTAAGCATAGTTATAATATGCAATATCTCTAACTCAACAAATACTAAAATCATGTACAGTAAGTTTGAATTTTTGTAGTGTTTATATTTTGTCGAAGTATTAATAATGATTTATAAAAGAAACTAAATTATAAGCCTAAAGTATATTAACATATGATATATTATATTCATACAAGCACCTATCCCAAGATTGAAACAACAAATACTCTTTTTAAGATTATGTGGCAATACAAACCTAGGTTGAATAATTTTTTCTAAATAAAAACAGTGATAATTTTAAATTTTAATTGGCTCTAACCACACAATATRAACTTAAATGATTGAAAAACTCATTTAATTATATTAACATTTTGGTAACTTTGTCAATAATTTGAAAAAAAAAAATGTTTGTACTATGAAACGTTATAAACACTTATTCTTTATGTACCTTTAGTTATTATTAAACCAAATTAAAATTTTTGTTTTGTTATTCTTTATTTCTTCAATTAAATGTAGCTGCAATGAGCTAATAACCCTAATTTAATTAGTTAAATTTTTTTTTTTTTGATCTTAATTTAATACAGTTTTTCATACTAACTATGTAATTACTGTTTCTCTCTATTTAGTGTAGAAAAATTATTTTATTTTATTGAAGCATAACATTTTTAAAAACTAATATGGTTATGGTGTAATGATATTCACATTATTACTTCACAAAACTTCTTAACTTAATATTATAATAATAACATTTAATACGGTACTATTAAGCCTAAAAAAATACTTTGTATTGTAGTATATCAATACAAATTACTTATGTATAACACTCAATATAGTCAATATCAGTCATTAATACTTTGTAAATAGCATTGCAAAATGTGTGATAATAATTTGCAAAAACACATTTTGTACCTCTATGATAAAAAAAAAAGAATCGTAAAAACAAGAATGATAAGCTGATGGTATAAGTACGACTRATATCAACTAATAAAATTGAAACTACTGGACATACAYTTGGGTATATTATGCGTTATTACATCGTCTTGGTCCAGCATTACATTTTTAAGGAGTAATAATTAGGCAATTCATATGACATGTATACTTGTGCGAGTAATAAATGAAGTATGGACATAAGCAAGTGTAATCGGTTGTCATTTTTAACTCTTACACACACATAAATAAATTAAATAATCATACATTGTAATTATATTTCTAGGAGTCCAGAATTTGGGCTAAAATGAAGCATTTATTATATTTTTTATCGTTAATAGCCAATAGGGCCACTAAAATGTTACATTTAAAATAGGTAAACCAGATAGACCAGTGGATT